ACACAGGCCGAGGGCAGCCGTTACGGGGTGCCACTCAGGCCGAGGCCCTCCGGGAAGCCACGTCCCGCGCCACTCCTGGCAGCTGAGGAGGCGGCAGGAGTGGTGCGGCCACATATGCCCACTCTCTGTGGGGCCGAGGTGCGCGCGTGCGGCCTTCTCTCACGGTTGGCATCGTCTGAAAACGTTAAGAAAAGTTTTACGGTCTCTCCTTAAGCACAAATCTCTTGGCCAGACTCTTATCTGGGGGCCACTCCACCTGAGCCCGGGAGGCCGGCCTACGTCCCACCTGCAGGCATGACCCTTCCTGAGACGGCCCCCCAAGGCTGCCGCCTTCGCTGTCACGACCTCATGTCCTGTGCCCACAGCACTCGTACCTGTCCGCCGGGTCATCCAGATGTGATCAAGGAAAGGGTGGCCTAGTTGGGGTGGAGCTCCCCTGGAGCAGCCTAAGGCTCGCCCTGTGCCCACCTGGAGGGCTGCCCCACTGCTCACCACTCCGTCCGGCTCATGCTGCGTGGCGGCTCCTGGGTTTGACCTGGATTCCTCTCGCTACGAACACGGTGGAATCTGACATTCACGAGCTGCCAACCTGTTTCCTGCTATACGCTCCTGGGGGCCTGCCATGTGCAGAGTTCCCTGGGCGGCAGCGTGGCCGCCCCATCTCTGCCTCGCTGCGTGCTTGCTTCTGCGGGGTTTTCCGACTCGTACTAGGGCTGGATCCACCACTCCTTCCCGTTGTGGCTTTGGGGTTCTGAGTCCTTAGGAAAAGCCTCCCCTCCCATGAGCTTGTACAAGACAGCACAGGGTGATCGCAACTATACTGAGACCCACCCTTCGGATGCAGGAGGTGAGAGGGACTCCCCGCGTCTCCCAGGGCTATGTCGCTGGACTCCCATGTAGTCGACTGCGGTTCGAGTCCCGGACCCAGTGGCTTAAACTCACGCCGGGCACGTGTGCGTGCGTGCCCAAGATCCCAAGAGGAGAATGGAGAAGGGATTGTGGCGTGGCCATCCCCCCAGGGGGTAATTTGTCGCTTCCTGTCTCTCTGGCAAGCGCACGCGCCCTATAGCAAAAACGTCTCCAAAAAAATAAAAAAGGGATGGCCACACCCTGTCCCTTCTCCTCTGTTCTCTGGATATGGGGCACGCATGCACACGCGCCTGGTGTGTCTTCAAAGCACAGGTTTGGGACTGAAACCGCAGTTGGCCATGCAGGATCTAGCCGCCCTGACCACGCCCTGGGCTTGCTGTCAGCTCTTTCTAGCCGTGAGTGGAATGTCCTTTTTTCCTGCTCAAGCATCACTCTACTGGTAAGAGCAGGGACAACACCGTGTGCAGTCCGGGCCGCAAGACCATGATGCTTCAGCCTGCACAGGCCGACCGTCGGCAGGACCACTTTCTGCGTCTCCACTCGCGCTCCTGCAAGGGGCACGCTCCTACCCACGGAGGTCGGTGCACACGCCCGTTACGCTGCCCCCTTGGAGCTGGCAGGTGGTGTGGTCGGGGCGCTGGCCTCCCACATGGCCAACTGTGATTTGAGTCCCAGACCTAGTGGCTTGCTTTCGCATTTTCTCTCTCTCGCATCAAATTTAGAAATAATAACAATCAATAAAATTAAATTAATTAAAAAAAAAAGACTTCCCCCTTTTAGACAAAATGAAAAGAACGGGTGTGGGGAGGCGGGAGACCAGGCAGCTGGCGAGGATGGACGTAGGCACAGCGCTCAGCCCGGCAGCTCCTCGCGGGCCACGCAGGGCCACAGGCACGCAGCTCCTCTCGGGTCAAAGCCAAAGTCACTGCAGGGGGTCGTCGAGGGCTACCTGCACACCTTGTTCACAGCAGTGCCACACCCACTGAGGGGAGCGGATGAGCGGACGTGTCTGTCCGCACGAGGGAGTGCCTTTGGCCGTGGAGGGTTGGCGTTGCACCTGTTACCGCGTCAGTACCCTTGAGGACCTTGTGCTAAACGACACCCAGTCAGATGTGCAGTGGGACAGGGTTTCCATTTGTGAGACACAACGATCTGGGAGGCTGGTGGGGGACCACGCCGAGTGCTGCTGAGCCTGTGAGTTGGAGCTGTGCTGCCCGTGTGCACAGGTGAGCTGACTCCCAGGTCCTTGAGGGTGTGCCTGGGTCCCGCCTGAGCAGGGTCTGGGCGCTCGACACGGGGTCCTGCTCTCGGGACCGCACGGCCCCAGCTGTGTGCAGTTGCAGCTGTCTCGAGGAAGCACTGCCGCAGCCGGGGAGCCATGCCGGGTGTGCGAGGCAGCCATACCTACCTTCTTGGCAGCCAGCAGCAGCCCCACCGCCCTCTCATGCTGGCCATGCTCAATGAAGAAGTCCGAGCAGCGGGCCAGGAGCGCGGGGTCCGCCTTCTCGTCCAGGTCCTCTGCGATGACCTGCAGGGCCGTGAGCTGCTGGGTGGCGAAGGCCAGCTCGAGGGCTTTGGAGAAGTGGCCGGCCTGTGGGTGGCAGGGGACTGTGAGCGGCGCCCCGTAGGCCCCGGCCGGGACAGCAGGCTCGCCCCTCACCTTGTGGTACAGCGTGACGGCCCGGTCCATGTGCTCGCCTTTCTCCTCGTGGTGGCGGGCTGCCTCGACCATGTCCTCCGGGCCGCTCCGCAGGGCCAGGTGCATGAGCTGCTCGTCCAGGCCGTGCTCCTGTGGGAGCTGGGCGGCCTGGTAGCGGCTCCTGCCTGGTGCCCCCACGCCCAGGCGTGTTTGGGATGTGGCCCGCCTGCATCCACCCCTCGTTTCACGTCACTAGGGAGTCTGCGGAGTCATGGCTCAATCGATGCGGGAACCCTCCTGCCCGCACTGGCCTGTGTTGGGGTCCTCAGATGCTCTTACTCTGTTCTGCACAGTGCAACACCTGACGTGCGCATTTTTCCGTCAGGGAGACCTGAGCTAGTACCCCCTCAACGAGCAAGAGACAGAGAACGTGGGAAGACAGGCGGTACCCGACGGGGTGTTCGCACCACGGCCCCCGCCAGCCCTGGGCAAGCGTGTGCCTGATGCACTGAGCTAGACAGGCGCACAGTGGCACAGGGGTCTGCCCGGCCGGGTGCACTTCCCCAGGGGCCTTGACCACAGCCAGGACGCGCCGCACCCAGGTGCCCGGCTGCCCGGCGCTACCTTGCATAGGCGGATGGCGTTGTTGAAGGCCTGCGCCCGCGTGTAGAAGTGTACGGCCTGGTGCACCTCCTCCTGGCTCTCGTACTGGCGGGCAAGGTGGTAGGACGCCGCCCAGTTTCTGGTCTCGTTGGCGATCTCGGCAGCCTGGAGAGACGCCCGAGAACCTAAGCGGCTCTGCCTTCTGCCAGGCCGCGCTGCGCCCCGCCCCGCCGCACCGCGCCCCGCCCCACCCGCGCACCTTCTGAACGTTGCCCTGGAAGCAGTGGACGCGCACCAGGGAGAAGGGGTCCTGGGCCAGCTCGTAGTAGTGCAGCGCGGCCTCCATCTCTGCCTGGCTCTCCAGGTGCTGCGCCCACCAGCGCCACAGGGTCCTGCAGGGGCCCCAGAAACCACAGGCTGTCAGGGCCACGTCCACTGAGTGACCGCCACCCGGCAGGGCGCCAGAGGTGAGGAGGAAGCCCAGCATCCCAGTGTTCCCTGGAGGTACGGGCCCAGGGACTCACTTGTCCTTCCGCTGGTTGATGTAAAGCTCCAGGGACTGCAGGTCCTGGGAGAGCATCCGGGGCACCTCGAAGCGGTGGGTGTCCGACTTCTCGTAGCTGTGGAGGGAGACAGCGCCTCACGCCTGTCCGTCTCACCCCATGCCGGCCAGGTGGGCAGGGAGGAGGCAGTGGCAGAGCGGCGTGGAGCTCCCCGCAGGGTCTGGATGGGGGCTGTGCTCTAGAAGTCCTGTCTCGGAAAGGGTGCCTTGCTCAGGCCACCTGTCCTTGTGGGGCACCCAGCTCACCCCTGCCACAGCAGTGGACATGGGCACAGGTCAGAACTGAAGCCAAGGAGAGAGGGGAGCTCCTGTGCAGGGGCCTGGCTCTTGCGGTAGACTTCCTGGTGAACCCAGAGCCGTGGCGCCCACCCAGCACTGCCAGCGGGGCCCCAGGGAGCAGGCCTGCCCGACCGGGCACTCACTACAGGAGGGCCAGGCTGCAGTCGGCACTGGCCTCCAGGTGCCTGGCGTAGCTGTAGTAGGTGGCGCGCAGGTGGACGCGGTCCTGGAGCTCGGCCACCTCCACGGCTCCCCCCCACCCGCCCGCGGCCCCGTGCAGC